GCTGATCGCCCACCTGTCCTCACTGCAGTGAGGCCATCATTCTGTCCGCTAGCCAGTAACTGGCCGCCGACGAAGGTGGCCAGTTACTGGCTTTTACTGATAGTGACAATAAAGACTTTTTTAAAGGTTTTAGACCCAATGAAAGGCAAAAAAATGTAGTCCATCCTTGCGGAAATTCGCTTTATGCTTGCATTAGTACAAGGCCATATACATATGTACGCAAGACGCTTAATAGTTGCCTTCTCCACTCATCAACTTTACGTTGATAATATAAGAGCGTTGATGGTAACCCAGGGTTCACTAATGAATCGCTAAATTACATTAAAATTCTGGCCAATCATGCAAAAGAACAGGGCAAAAAATTGTTTTGTTGTCTTAGCATGGATGAGATGGAAAAGACCGTGGGATGGAAAAGACCGTGTTGGATTTGTAAATTTTGGCGAAGCGTTAGATAGCGATAGTGCAGCCGTTACTAAAGATGCACTGGCTTTTATAGTAACAGCCATCAACGGGAACTGGAAGCTTACTGTTGGCTACTTCCTAGTTGATAATTACAGTAGCAACCAGAGAGCGAACTTAGTCCAACAATGCGTTGAACAAGTTTAAGTGGCATTATAGTAGTATCACTGACATTTGAAGGTTGTCCTGCAATTTTGGCATGGCTAAAAAGTTAGATTGCAGCTTGAAACCAATAGATTTACAAAATCTAAAAACTTATTATAAGTTTGGAGGTCAAGAGATATTTATAATAGCAGATCCAAATATACGATAAAATTAGTCAGAAATACATTTGGTCGAAACGAAGACCTTACAAATTGTAATGGCCAGAAAATATCATGGGAGTTCGTAGTAAAACTTCGTGCATTACAAGAGAATGAAGGGTTGCACCTGGTAACTAAATTACGCAGCCAAGATGTAAATTTTGCAAAACAAATTATCAAGGTTATGCTAGATGCTCAGATTTTAAGTGAATCTGTTGCTGATTCCATAAAATTATAAAATCAAGACTTAGCATTGCCTGAATTTAGTAGGTCTGAGGGTACTGTAGATATTATTAAAAAATTCAACGATTTATTCGATACACTAAATAGTAGGAATATTAATTCGTTCGGTTTTAAAAACCTATTTGTAGGTTTTTGATGAATTGAAAAGGTTTTTAATGAGACTAAAGATAAACGGCGAGTCAATTTTAAGATCGAGTGGAACAATTGGATTCTTTAGTTTCTTAATTTGTATTAAAAGCATAAGATTCATGTTTAAATCCTAAGTTGTTTCTGGTGAACTCACATTTATTCCAACATACATAGCCAAGACCACATGGAATGTTTTTTCAGTGCTATTCATTCAAAAGGTGGATTTAACAACAATCCTAATGCAATGCAGTTAAAAAGTGTCTATAAACACTTAATTATTCATGGGGAAAGCATGCATATACGAAATTTAATCCCTTTGCAAATCCGACCTGAAAGAAAAATAAATTTTCAAAAAAATCATCTTCGATCTCAGATGAATTGGCACCAGAATCAGAATCTATTATTCCTGAACCCATTATTGACGAAGACTGACTATTAGACGGATCCTTCAAGACTAACAATGTACAAAAAAAAATAATTAGTACATTGTAGGTTTTATTGTATCTACGAATTTTAGTCATCAAACGTGAGGATTGCCTTCTGGCTTTAATTTCAGATAATTAGTACGGACTTATCGCTGCTAAAGACAAAGGAAGCCTTTAGGGCGACACGCCTAATAGCAGTCTATTGCTTCCTCTGTCTATGTCGAAGTGAATACTAGTGAAGTGAAAACTATCCGGACGGTCTAATAGTGTTGTGATTTGTTATCAGTGACGTGAAATAGTGAAGTTTAAGTGTGAATTTTGTAGTTAAATTGTTTTTATAATTTTATTGTGCTTAATAAAGTCGGATTGTGAACTAAAATATCCGATATTTATCCGATATATTTCGTATATATAATCATACATAAGAAAAGCTGCACGTGGATTTATTTAATATTTGTTTACTTATTATAAAATAATTTAACAAATAGTATGAGAGCGAGAATTCCCAGTAACTTATAGGGGAATACCCGAAATTTCTAGCAAGTAAGATTGCTACTTCGGACTAATGTTGCCAGCGTCACATCGGGTTGGATTTTTTTCTAGCTGAGACTCCTTACTCAAACAAACTAAATATTATAAATATCAATTGATATCAACATATGATCATGTCATATATCATGATATGGGGCCATCCATTAATTATGTCACACGTTAGGGGGGGGGGGGGGGGGTCGACGAATTTATTTGAAATTAGTAGAACAAGCATGTGACAGGAGGGGGGGGGGGAAGCGTTTAAAAAAAAACGTAATTATTATTAAGGGGGCGTCCATAAATTACGTGAGATGTTTAAGGGGGGGAGGGAGTCGAGTCAAATCTCATCTAATCTCACGTTGGAGAGAGGGGGGGTCTCGGCAAATATCACGCAATTTTTTCAATAAGGCTCGGTGCGGGGAATCCCTCATAGAGTGACAAATCTAAGGTTAAGATCATTCACTAATTCGTTGGAAAGAAAATAATTTCATTCGTACTTTGACATTATACATCACTCCTGATTGTCAAACCACTATACTCGTTTTATACCAAATAGCTCAATTTAATTTGAATTTACGGTACAATGTAGCCCGTCCTTTGTTTTCGCGCCACTGTCTGCTGAACATATGACTCGATGAATGAGAGCAATATGGATTACTAGTCTCTAACTAGTCGTAAATAAAAGTACGAAGCGAATTTTTTTTTCTTTTTATTAAAAAATCCAACGTGAACCAAAAAACCCACTTTTTGAAAAATCTCACGTGAGATTTGGGGATGGGGGAGTGGATTGAATAAAATCTCACGACATCTCACCAGGGGGGGAGGGAGGGTCAGAAAATTCGAAAAAACACCTCACGTAATTTATGGACGCCCCCTAAGACGTAATTTACCTTTCAATCCGCATTGGGCCCGCGTGGAGGGTCATGGCCCCATCATCCTTAACCATCCATAAAGAAGGTTCAGTGGGGACTTGAACGCTCTAGTTCTCACTTCATTATAAATTCTAGTCTATTGGTTTGTTTATTTGCTAATGTTATTATACGAGTAATACTCAAGTAATTGCTTCTTCTCGAATATAATGAAAATAGACCAGAATAACGACCGCCATGGCCGAGTGGTTCGCACGCCACTTTTAAGGTTACGCCATTTCCGAGGTCTCCGCTTCGATTCCAAGTCGGGTCAATATAGAAAATGTATTGTCTCGAATCTGGGTGTTGTGGTACCTTCGTTGTCTCAGATACTACATAATACGGGGGCTTTAGCTACTCATCTTGGAATCTGAGCAATTTATATGACGTCCAATATATTTTTTAAATTTATTTATTGATTTCCAAAAAATCAAATTGTGTAGATATTTTTCATTTTTTTCCAAAAAAACAGAACCGACTACGTACTTTGCAATAGAGAGAAATAATATTTATCCCAATACCGGTTCAATAGGGATGACGACTAATTTTTGTTTGTTTGTCCGTCAGGTAGAGTGTTAAAAAATATTAAACACGTATTTTTGTATTTTTTTCGTAATCATAAAGTTACGGCGTTACATGGAGTTAAAATATCGCATGACGTCACGTTATGGTACGTTTTCTACTCAACTGTGACGTAGCGAGCCCCCACTCCTCAACTTTAATGCCTGTTATCTAAGCTATTTCTTGTTGAATTGAAGTAAAAAAAAAATACGTATCTAATATTTTTCTATTATCTGACTGACGGACTAAATAGAATTGCATTATTTTTACCCAGTCGTCATCCCTATTATTCGAGAAATTTATATTGAACTCAGTTCTATTATTGAGAAAAATAATTTTATGGTGGTTTTATGGTGGTGGTGGTTTGTTAGGTGACGAAAAAAAATCGTTTTTAAGATGACACGCGACGAATAGAAAAACTCGTCCTATTTGGAAGTCGGTTAAAAATCGGAACACATACCGTAGACAAACTAATTGAACACTACAAATGTAAGTACGTAGCAACATCTATTTCGGGATTATTTTACTTTGGTTATTACAGTATTGCTTAAATGGTGAAAGCCGGAATCCGGATACATTAATGGACCTTATTATTATTATTTTATAAAATATACTGTCTAAAACTAAATTTATTAATGAAAATTTTACACTTGATTCTCATAAATTCCTTCCAAAATTCTATTAGTAAAAAGTGTAAGAAATATGTACTATAAAAATTACACTACGTTACAAAAAATGTGTAAATTTTGTCTAAAAAGTACTTAAGTCCTAATATATTTTCTTTGTTTTTAATATATAAAAAATAATTATGCGATAAGAGACAATTGGAATGATAATAAGATTATTTTTATTATTCTTCAACCAGGACTCGGAACCTGCTAATTAATAATCGGGAACACGAAAAATATAACCGATAAAACACAGATAATTTCATTACGAAGCTTTCAATGAAATATTATTCTAATCAACTTGAAATAACCAGGTAATTTTTACGAACCGGTTAATTTTGTAAAGAAAAACCGGTTATATCAACGATAACTAAAAACTAAACCATTAAAGGCACGAGATAAATAACTTAAATCGATTAAAAATAGCAGTTTCAGAGTCCTGTTTACATAAACCCTTCTAAATAATTGCCGTATGCGATATGTATTCGAAGTCTATATTAGTAATATCTCTTTGAGATATATAGATTATTATAGTGTAAACTTTTTGACGATACATTTTATGAAGCTGTTACAATAACCGGTAATTTTGAAACACAATTTATTAAGGAATTTCTAATAATAATGTTTGTATTTCAAGTTCAAGTCTGCTTCTTGTTACAATATTTAAATTGTTAAATAAAGTGTATTAAAAATAACCGGTTAATGTATCCTTCATATGAATCCGTAAAATTTTCTGAAAAATATAAGGTAAAAATTGATATTGTAAAACGATCCTTATCTTATGGACAGTAGATTCTTGTTTGCCTTGATAGATGCACGTAGTTTCTTGACTAGAGGCGAAGGTTGCAGCAAAACTGACACTTCGGTGCCGTGTAAACTTATCCTATGCAATTCTTCTTGCCCACCCTGATTGGTAATATAAAAAATTTAAATACAGATAATAGAACATAGAATTTTATTTAACTCGGCAGCATAAAGGATAAGCTCCGCGGCCCGCGATCGTTGTTGTTAAGCAACGTTCGCAAGGGTTGGTATCGGGATGGGTGACCGAGAAATTATTATCTCGGCTACTCCGTGATTAGGAAGGCACGTTAGGCCGTTGGTCCGGACTGCATTTGCAGTCGTTTACTCCAATCCGCATTGGGCCCGCGTGGAGTCACGGCCCATCCTCCTTAACCGTCTATAAGGAAGGCCTTAGTCCCTGCAGTGGGGACGTAAAAGGGCTGAAGATGATTGCATTGATCTCAAGTAAGCATTAGCATCTGTGATGCGACAGTTAAGCGACTTTTGCAAGGGTCGGCCACAGGATGGGTGACCAAGATCTTTCCGTTTGGAACGCAAGTTAAACACGTTAGTTGACTCATGGGTAATTTCCTCTATTGGATTCGATTCGCTCTATAAAGAAACCCATGCAGTCGAGTCTTTTAAACATCATGAATATTGATCATCTATATTAGTATTATACATATATTATGTGACGCCTGTGACGTCCAAAGTCCCGGGTTAGATTGCCGGTCGGGTCAATGTAGTAAATGGGTTTTTCTATATTCGAGTCTGGGTGTAGTGGTATCTTCGTTGTCTCAGATACTCATAATACGGGAGCTTTAACTACTCATTTTAGGGATTTGAACAATGTATAATCATCATCATCAGCCCTTTTACGTCCCCACTGCAGGGTCTCAAGCCTTCCTTAATGGATGATTAAGGAGGATGGGCCATGACCCTCCACGCTCCCCAATGCGGATTGAAAGGCTTTAACTACTACAAATGCAACCGTGCCATCCGAAGAATTCAAATTTTTTTTCGGTCACCCATCCCATGCCCGACCGTCGCGAAAGTTGCTTAACAACAACGCGGCGCTTATCCACTACGCCACCGAGCTACTCGATCTGAAACGTGAATACCTTGAGTAAATTGAGCGGTCTATTGTTGACTTCGGTGAGGGCCCACTGACCCGGCGGTGGAATCCCACACCTGGCAGCCGGAGCCCCACGCTCAACACTCACTATATTGCACTCACCATCCAATTTTATACCTAGAAGAAACCAAAATAACGGTCATGGTCACAAGAGTAAATAATTTTTTTATTTTATTTTTATTTTATTTATAAAAGGCACAGCTACAGAAAACAAACCATACAATACAATATTACACAATTTTATAGTATAACACTAAGTTTGTCCCCCAACTTATACAACTTATATTAGACAACACAGGCAATTATTATGAATTTATTTTAAGATCACACGTGCGCAAGAAAATGGGTAATCTTTGAGAAAAAATGTCCAAATCTTTACTAATGTTATTGTAAGCTCTACACATACGAAAAACTGGATCATTAAAAGTTTAATATATTTGATCGATATTGCATTTTTAATGGTATACTGGAAAATATTGTGAATGACAAATGATAAAAAAATCATGTGCATCTGGACTGAGTGGTCCATTTTCAGTTTTCAACAAAACCAAAACGTACATTTAGTTAAAATTTGTCAAAACTCATAACTGAAATCAGAAAAATTGTCACTCTTAAGCGATCGAAGCGACCCAATATGTGGATCACTCAATAGGGATGACGACTGGGTAAAAAAATGCAATTCTATTTAGTCCGTCAGTCAGATAATAGAAAAATATTAGATACGTATTTTTTTTTACTTCAATTTAACAAGAAATAGCTTAGATAACAGGCATTAAAGTTGAGGAGTGGGGGCTCGCTACGTCACAGTTGAGTAGAAACCGTACCATAACGTGACGTCATGCGAAATTTCAACTCAATGTAACGCCGTAATTTTATGATTACGGAAAATATAAAAAAATACGTGTTTAATATTTTTTAACACTCTACCTGACGGACAAACAAACAAAAATTAGTCATCATCCCTATTCAGTCATTATACAAAATGGCGGCAAGCCGAATCTCAGGAAAAACTTACACTGTGAATAAAATTTTCATAACAAAAATTTGTACAAAATATGTCACATTATTTTACAAAAAATCAAGACACTTCAACGTAAATCCAGGATTCTACAATAGTTTCAATGGATCGCTCAATCCTGACGCATTTAGATTGAGTGATTCTAGAAATACGGTATTTTTTTTTACTTTAAAGGAACTTTTAAATATATTTGTACAAATTAATTTCACACCACAAACGTTTATAGTTAAAAAGTTATACCAAATCAAAGCTTTTTAATTTTGTTGAATTGAGTGGTCTTTATATGGCAGTTAGAGCAGTCGACCAATTAAAAATATTGTATTAGAAATAAAAAAAAAATATATACTAACAATAAGCGGTTTTATTATAGACTAGCTTTCTTCTAGCGGCTTCGCCCGCGTGTCTCCTTAGGGAATTGTTTAGCGGGACAAATATTAGTAAGATTATTTACAGCAATTTGAATATAGACTCATATCGTGACACGGATATAAATACAATGACAAATTGAATAGTTAACAATGGTTACCATGGTAACGTTTTAATTCCCCATACAAATTTTCACTCTCATTTTCATCCCTTTATTTGCTGTTTTTCGGGATAAAATATAACCATGTCCATCTCATATGATGTAGCTTTCAAAACAAACAAATTGTCCCTCTTTATAATATAACCAGTGGTTGGAATTAGGTAGTTATTTTATACTTACACTGATTTCATACAGCGAAAGAATAAAGTGGATATGCCTCAAATCCCGAGATTAATTTTAAAGAGCAGAAAAAATCCAGTGATTTTTTAAATAAAAAGTTATTTACTTTTACACAATTCAAACTACTGCACGCACGACGTTGCCAAACTTACATCAATGACATCGGATGTCCAAAGTTGCAAAATACCAATACGCGCGATGTTGCCACATTTGTAGTTCGCACAACATAGCTTGTGAGAACAAAAGAATACAATAGCGCAAATGCGGAGCACTCCCCACTTAACGTAATGTACTAGATTGTGTCTCTTTCTACCGCATTCAAACTATCTAAATCCCGGGAAGGTCCACATTAATATCAACATTTCGATGCAAGTACATAAATAACTCTACCTCATTCCGACCCCTGAATATAACATAATATAGACATGTTAAGTTACAGAAACAATTATGTTAAAGTTATATTATTATTAGGTACTTACCTATACTTTCTTGGTTCCTCTTGTTTATTACGAATATTTTTCCTAAAGGTACCCGATGGAACAGTATGTCTATCTAAAAATAAAACATTTATGATTATAAAATTTACTTAAGATTTCGGCATCCATTAGCAACAATTAAACTTAATTCTGTTGTTAGTAAAGTTTCATAATTTAATTTAATAAAATTGAATTATATAATTTCATTTCCCATCTCATAGTGCCAGGGACAAAGTGGACTTTTTAAGCATTTTTCATTATTTTTTTAATCCAATTTAATTGATTTATGATTATGTAGGAAACGACTAAAATTCTTCAGAAATAGTAGATTTTCGTACAAGGGGCTAAAAGTGGAATCTTTGTTTATTAATGAACTCATTAGTATTTTACTTATTAAGACTTTTGCTGTAGGCCCCTAGAGCGAGGAATGCTATTTTAGCCTCGCTTTAGTACTCTATATGCATATTGTTCTGTTACTTATGGTTTTATGGATGATAATTATAAAATAATTTATTTACTTCATAAAATAAAAAAAATAAATAAAGAAATATACGTCGAAAATGAGAAAAACAAATTTTGAGCTCATAAAACCGGCATTTTTATAAAAAACCATAAAAGTCCTATAACTTGAAGACGGTAAGGTTTTCGATAGGGTGTTTCATCGTCAAATTTGTTTGCAATGATGTATACTACAATCTCCTTCAGGGTCTAAGTCCACTTCTCCTTTAACCCTGTATATGTCGGCGGGTACTCAGAAGGCGCTTTTACGAAGCCCAATTAGATCGCCCATATCGGAGGAATATCTTTAAAATAACACTGCAGGCGTGTATACCAATGTGGACTTATTCCATTTATTATTTTTCATACGAAAATATAACGGGATCAGCGTGATGTCGCCGGATGTCTTTACTCCTCGACGATCGGAAACAGAATGCATGCCAAAATGGCGGCAATTTGCTTTTCGTTAACGAACTGTCAAAGTCATCGATAAAGGTATCGATGATAAAGCCCTCTCTACAATCGAGTAACTAGCAATTAAAAAAGAAACTAAATCAAACGATCTTCGTAATGATGATGGAGATATTCTGCGACATATATATAAATTTATAACTCACTAGAGGCGTCGGGCAACTGTTTATTAGATGTTTGGCATGTTGTAAATCCCGCGGTTGTGTACCGCGAACTGCGACCAAACGATCCCCCCCTCTGCCGCTACATCGCGCCCCTCCAGTACCCCACCACGCTATCCTAACAATAAATACAAATATATATATATATACATAACTTATTATCCCATCTCAGAGTGCCAGGGACATAGTGGATTTTTTAAGAATTTTTCATTAAGAAAATTTTTTCAATATATAAAATGTGAAAAATTAGTGAAAACTACTTTAAAAAATCCACTTTGAAAAAATAAATTATTATATTTCATCCATTTTCCATTCACAAACCTATACTGATGAAAATAGCTTTAAAAAAAATCCACTTTGTCCTTGGCACTCTAGAGATAGGACTCGAACCTATGACCTTTTGCAAAAAGCAAAAGCAGGGACTAAGTGGATTTTTAAGCATTTTTCATCAACAATAGTTTATTTATTTTATTTGGGTGGGTAACAGCCAAATAATATAAATAAGAATACGGGTGTAGACAGTAAACGAAAATATATTTTTTTTTCTGGCAGTGTTTAATAACTATTAGCGATATTCAATTAATCACACTTTTATGCTTATTATATTTATAATATTATTCAAATTATAATCATCCTCCTGCCCTTTATCCCACGTTACGTGGTGTCGGCATAACATGTTTTCTTCTTTCATTCTTCTCTGTCAGACGTCAGCTCCACATCCACACCTCACATATCACGACAAGGGTTTACTATGGTAATTTTTTAAATTCCCTATACAAACTTCCACACCTAATTTTCATCCCATTATTTGCTATTTTTTGGGATAATGTATATCCTATGTCCACCGCATATGATGCAGATTCCCATAGATGAAAGAATTTTTAAAATAAATCCAATAAATTCTGAGTCTTTTCGTTGCAAACAAACTATAACATCTTATCTCTTTATAATATATTCCGCTAGCGTCTTCGCCCACGTGCTCTTGTATTATACATAAAAACCTTCCTTTTGAATCACCCTATATATGAAAAAAACCGCATCAAAATCCGTTGCGTAGTTTTAAAGATTTAAGCATACTTACGGATATAGGGACAGAGAAAGCGACTTTTATAACTTTGATACTATGTAGTGAAAATAATTGACATAAATATCAAAAAAATTGTTCATTCATAATCTACTCAAGTCACGCAGGAGTTTAATGAAGATTATTAATTTTAATGGATATTTAGCTTTTAGATAAGTACATTTTTTGTATTATAAGCAGAGGTCGGAATTAGGTAGAGTTATTTATGTACTTGCATCGAAATGTTGATATTAATGTGGACCTTCCCGGGATTTCTTTATTTCTCCTTTTTTTATTTCTTTCTTTCATTGATGTAAGTTTGGCAACGTCGTGCGTGCAGTAGTTTAAATTGTGTAAAAGTAAATAACTTTTTATTTAAAAAATCATGGGTTTTTTTCTGCTCTTTAAAATTAATCTCGGGATTTGAGGCATATCCACTTTATTCTTTCGCTGTATGAAATCAGTGTAAGTACATGAATAACTCTACCTAATTCCGACCACTGATTATCACTGATACAGTAAAATAATATTTGATTTTCAACAAACACGGTCTCGAACAACCAAAGAGTTAACCAATAAACAAATAATAACTCACTGATTCAAGTGCCATCAGAAAAATACATAGGGAGAGAGGCTTCGTTTTAGAAATTGACTTCGTTTTATACTATATAGTGAAGTAAAAAGTTTAAGTGTAAACGATGACTCACCATATGTGGTTATCATACTCGGCGAGGAGGGGGGGGCGATGTTTGGGCGCGGCGGTGGGGATGACGGCGCGACGCTGCTGATCCGCCTCCAGCGCGAGCGCCTGCCCGCGCCGGAGGGGGATGAGACCGCCCCCCGCCCCGCCTACCCCTGTCCCACCCCGCCCTAATACATAACGCACGTTGAGAATGATGTCACTAACCAATAAAAATAAAAATTAAAATAAAAATCCGCGCCGGAAGGTGATGATTACGTCACACAAAATTCATGATTTTTAACTCCTCACCCCCCCTCCTGTCACCTGTTTGTCTATACAAATTCTACTAAATATTGTTCTAATGTCACAGTTCGTCGACTGTCCCCCCCCCCATCCTAACGTGTGACGTAATTTATGGATGGCCCCCTACGATATACTATTCATATACTACTCCACCTGTTCCGTATTAAACAATATGAAATGAATTATTGATTCGTGTCAAATGTAAAATCTACAACGCGATATTTAGTAGTGACACGAAATTGTACAAATTAGAAAGGGCTATTCCTTTTTCCTGGGCTGTTTTCCATACGTAGTCATCAAATTTTTCATATTATAAACGGTTATACTATAAAAGGTGTGAATTTATTGAATTTCCAGTTTTAATAAAATATTACTCCTAACATCATGATTTTTTTAACAGAACCCACATTGGGAAAACATGCTAGAAGTAAAACATTGTTATTGCTAACCTTCTTCTTTTCCGAAGTTGGTTTAAAACGAATTCAAGTGATTCAAATTTGATAACTGACCATTAGTTAGACTGCTGCTTCTCCTTCTTGCGTTATTATTATCAGCTAGTGCTTCTTGACGAGATCTGCGCACTTTCACCGGAGATATAACTCCTCTAAAACATACAGGATATGTATTTATACTCGCACAAGTTTCAATATGTTTTATTACTGTAAAAATGTCAAAGTTACGAGTTATATGAAACGGTTAATTGTATAACCGGTTTTCATGATCGGAACCGGTGAACCGGTTATTTTTTATCGGATCTAATTGTGGTAAATTAGCTGTTTTACTTTATACTATTTAAGCATTAATTTAAAAACAAAAATGTCCAACAAAGTACTGTTTACTGTCGTTTTAAAATATATATATACCTTTCTGTGGAGTCTGTTTCTTGTCTCGTAGGACTTTCATGCCTCTTGCCGTGCCCGATGCCTCGTAGCCGAGTCAATAAAGACAACTCTGTTAGACCCCTCTTCCAAATAGGTTTAGCTTGTGTAGACTCCGATTTATCTAATAAATAAGTATCATATTTGGATATTACATGGAATTTTAATAAAAGTTTACGGTGTCTATAAGATGTCGTAGACACCATATAAGAATAACTGCGATATAAAATGCCTATTTTTATAGAAAAAACGATAGCTTACTTGCCAGATGTGCGAAATATATTTACCCATAAGTAATAATAACACGGATTTTACTGTTCTAACAAATCTTACAATAAGAATATTAACCCAGTTCCATAAACATACAATGAAATTGTCATTAATATTAGTGCAGTAATGGGACACTCAATTTGGATTGAATCAACAATATTACGACTATGACATTGCACAATGATTTAATGTTTTAATCATAATTGTTATGCAATTCTGGTGTTATATATTGTCCTATTTATTGTTAATTACATACATTTATTGTCTTATCTGTATTAGAATAAAACTAATTCTAATAAATTTTAATCGAAATTACTGATATATATTTAGAAAATTCATAAGAGCTTAACATTGTTATTATACCTTAATAGACATTTGTGCAACTGACCGTTACATTACCTATTAACAATCAAAAGAAATGAAATCATTATATTCAATCTTACATAACAATTAAATAATAATAATAAAATAAACAAGCTAATATTTCGTTTATCTACAAGTTAAGCTCTTTCAATTAAAACCCCTATTGTGTGCTTTGTTCTGAAATATGTAGTCACCCCGTTTTGAATTAATAATGATATCGATTAAATATGATTGAGTAGCTCGGTGGCGTAGTGGATAAGCGCCGCGGCTCGCGATCGTAGTTGTTAAGCAACTTTCGCTAGGGTCGGTCACGGGATGGGTGACCAAAAAATTATTATCTCGAGCTACTCCGTGCTTCGGAAGGCACGTTAAGCCCGTTGGTCCTGGCTGCATTTGCAGTCGTTAATACCCTCCAAACCGCATTGGGCCAGCGTGGAGGGTCATGGCCCATCCTCCTTAACCATCCATAAGGAAGGCCTGAGCCCCTGCAGTGGGGACGTAAAAGGGCTGGTGATGTGATGTGATGATTGCATTGTCATCAGAATTAAAAGTATGTTCAAAATTCCAGCTCAAATGGAGAGTGAAAATTGGGTGATATTTAACTAAGGTTTGATTACAGAAAGACAAACATTGGCACAGTAAGAGCTTATAAAAACATATTATTGCTTACCACATTTTCCTTCTCTCTTCGGACTATGATTCTGCACTCTTCTATAAAGGTGCTCCCTCATTCTAGGAGACGCATCATAAGTGTTCTGGCTATGAGACCTCTCAACATTACACCTTATCACTCTAGAATTAGAGTTCAAACTAGCATTCACTGGAGCTACACGATTTCTCTCACCATTTGGAACCTCAACACTCCTATCGATAACCGTCACTGCACTACTACTGACACTTTCACTCGGAAACAGACACTCATAAGTCGATTCAGTGTTCGAACTCTCCAAATTAGGCAAAGACGATTTTCTAGATCTTTCCGCGTTCTTCACTCTATTCACTGGCGTTTCATTCGAAGTCGACGCTAGACAAAGCCGCTCGTACGCGCCATTAGCGTCCGCCGCATTGACAGACGTCACGCTGACATCTGTCACTTTGACAGACGCGACTGTGTCGTCCCTCGTGACGTTGACGGTCGTGGTCAAACTGATGTGCCCGTAGTCAGATTCTTCTGTGAAAACGGTGCCGTACTTGTTGTTTTGATCGTCCCCAGTGTTGACTATGTTGACGAAACTGGTCTCCGGATTGTGGGCGAAGTCGAAATTGAATACGTCCACCTCTGTACCCATTACCGGTATAGCCGTGTGGGGGGGATCTTTATTCGACACTTGGATCACTGTTACGTTGCTAACGCGATCTTCTCTGTAACAATTCAGCATATAAACAGAATGTATTTTCTGACATTTTCTAATGGTTATAATAAAGATTTAGTCCTAAATAATAATGATTTTAATAACCTGTATTTAAATTTAATAATTAAATTAAAATTAATTAATATGATATTTGCATGCTAGTGTTATAGCTAAGTGAGCTGAACTATAATTGTCTTTCCATCTTTTATTATACATAATTTAATAGCAAATAAACGATTACTATTTACTTACATTGTTTTATCATTACAGCAATAATCTGGTCTAAGAATACTTTAGCATTGTTTGATATAAATGTCTCTTGTTAATTTTGTATATGAGGAACCTGTCTATACTAATATTATAATGTGATTGTTTGTTGTTGTTTTGTAATATATTAGGAAACAAAATCTTGATGCATGCGGACGTAGTACACAATCAAAGCCAATCCTTATTAATATTATAATTGCGCAAGTCCACGTTTCTCTCTGTGTTTCTGTTACGTTTCACGCTTAAACTATTGAAGCAATTTACACAAATAGATAAAGAAAAATAGGCTTTAATGTGTTGAAATAAGGATACAAATTTGTATTTAGGCACTGGATAGGAAGTAAGTAAATATTTTTAGTACGACTTTCGACAGTTCGACTAACATGGCTGACAATAAAATTCGAATTATACGCAGGCGCAGCTGCAGGCGGAAATTTAGACATAAAATAACAACTTACCCATTGATTTCTCTGTCGTTCGAAGCTGTCGTATTATCAGTAACAAGTACAGTCTGTTTATAATCAAAGTCTATATTTTCCACTGAATCACTTATTCTATCTATTTCATTGAAAAACTCCTCATCACTGTCCGTGTTAACGCGATTACGTTTCAAAATGGAATCATCCAAACAAATATTCTGACCGCAAATTTTCGCGACACTCCTATTACTTATTGTGCTTCTAACTTCCACTTGAGCCTCTTGACTGGTGCCGGGCGTGGCGTCTTCCCAGTTAGAGATGTCTATCTCCTGTTGAACCGGTTCCTGCAGAACCGGTTGTTCCGGTTGCGGTGCCGGTTCTATATCCGGTTCCGGTCGGGAAGACGCCACGGGCGTAGGTGTCGTCAATTCTATACCCGGTACTCTGCAATTGAACAATAATAAATGAACTTTAACAAAAGGCTCTTATTTTACTACTGACTGCTTTAAATAATACTTATATTACATATAGATTGGTAGAAATCGCTGTTAGCGATAAGACCGCCAATTGTTCCACTATTGTGTTGTATTTAATTTGCAAAATTCATGTTCAAAACTTTTACTGTAAAATGGTGTGACAATAAAGTGTTATTATTATTATTATTTTAGTAATTAAAATTTATTAGTGCTGAAATAATTTTAATTGTAAAGAAAATTTATGTTTTAGGCAATTAAATGTCAATTGTGATTTATTTTTATCAATAAACAGTACAAAATGTTTTCGAATTAACTTGACACCCGAGGGCCTATTCTATTTGTTCTCGAACATTCGAAAACCCTACCTCCTTTGCGTCGTTTCGTTTTCGGAGAAATAGAATAGGCTTACAAATGTTAATTTAATTCGGGTACGAAATTTGTTTCAATCTTGTATTATACCTGTCTGGTGGTTCTCTAGGCGTAGGCGGTAGAGGGCTGGTGGGGTCGCGGGCGGCGGCGCGGGGCGGGGGCGGCGCAGGGGGAGGAGCATATACGTTTTCGCCACACGATAACACACGTAACTCATGTAATTTACTACGGAGGGTAGACACCCAGTCTTGCATAGTCTCCCTATTAGAAACAAAATATATATCTTTATAAACACATATAAAAGAAACTCTTGTTAGTGTAACCATTTATAACTCGAGAAAGGCTGGACCGATTTTTGTGATATTTGTGTTTTGGTTTTGTCTTCATCGGGAATAGGATAATAAGTATTAAAATATTATACTTTATCAATAAAAATAATAGTGATTTTTCATAATTAAACGCAACTGACAGCTCGGGTTCCTAATTCATTTGTTATAACAAAACGCAACTGACAGATCACGTATTGTTGTCCTATATATATGGTTCATATGGAACAAAGTTCACCGGGTCCTCTAGTACTTAATAAAGAAAAGACCAAACAAAATCTTTGTTTACGTAAACAAGACCTATCAATTGGCTACTTGATCAATAAATAATTATGATATATGTTGGAAATGGTAACTTATATGTAAATAATAACTTTGCAGTATTTAATGTTTTAAAATAAATTGTAATTATACATTATTTTTGCGAAATTCATTTGCGATTTATAATCTGTAGTTGGACAAGAGCCGAAACGCGGGCGGCCATGACAAAGCATCGTGTGACGTCATATTTCAATAAACCAAACGTCAACATCTGTGTAACGAGTGCAATCTGCCCCTTATTCTGTTATTCTGAGAACAATCGAAATAAATTGTTCACAGAGTTCTGTGGGCAAGCGGTCATACTAGTAAGGTATTTTGACACATTGAAATTATTCACTACAACGTGATTATAACTTCAAGCTCTCCATTGAGTTTGCGTATAGTACTGCAGTCTCTTGTCTCTCATGTTTATTGAAAATTGACGTCATGGCGCGAAATGTCACGTGACAGATGGTTTTCGCGGAACAATTTAAATTAATAAATAAAAATATGTAATTAAAAATAAATATGATAGTGTTTTAATATGATCTTTATGAAAGATTTAAAATACATTTACAAAAACAATTAAGGAGCCAAATCTGAGGGTAACTGAACATAAGATTATAAGCCTTGTTTTAATAAAGATAAAGTGTACAATACATCGCTCTAGATTTTAGTTCCAGTCACACTATAACGTGGTACTTGAATCAATCTGATTGCCCCATATTTGCCGCGCAAGATTTAAATACGCGTAATTGAATTGGTACACTTATACTTGTTGTTATACTATTAATATTTGAATCCACAAAAGGTTAAAAAACGCGGAAGTGTAATATATAGTTTGCCAGCAACTCCTTTCACGATAATCCTTACTCGTTAATTGAATTAAAAATAACCGGTTCGTACCGGTTTTTTATTAGCTAATAAAGAAACATGTAACTTTTAAATAGAAATTACTGGAGTTTATCATAACAGGACGCAAAGCGCATTATGAAACAACAATGTTACGCTCCAATAACAAGTAAGTTCGATTATAATTTTATACAATAACATACTTCGTTTGCACAATAGCTTATAAATAATAAAAGAGTGTGCCTTAAGGTAAAGGTACATAAACGATAAAGCTAAACTACAATTAAGTTTGACTATCAAAAGGTATCTCAAATATATTTTTATAACCTCAATATAAAAAAAAAATTTCATTGTCAGTCATTGTCAGACTGTAGTTTTGACAAATCTGTATACAGATTTGTCAAAACTACAGTCCAAAAAATTTAAAGATAAATTCAGACTGTGTGGACCTAACATCCTTTGCCCGTCCCAAACAAGAGGGACAAATGAAACAAAAAAAAATCTTGAAGTTGACAGCTGTCATTGGCTTTTCAGGGTTCCATAGTCAAAAGGAAAATACCGGAGTATATCACTAAAAGTAGTATAGTCGAGAAAAGTAATTACATGAGAATATATCATAACTTAAGCAAATATTTTTACTAAATAAACAAATATTTGAATATGTTGTTTTTTTTTTACAGAACAGAATACTAAGGAACACATATGATATACGCTTTAAAGCTTAAGCTTCTTAATTTTTGTTGAATTATTTAAAAAAAAATAAAAATCAACAGGTAGTAAATGAGTAAATTTTTTCAAAAAATGATAAAGACAAAAAAAAATTACAAAGTTTTTTCCCTTCTTTTTTCTTTTTGAAATTTTATTCTCTGTTTTATCGCCTACATACTTAACTATCAATTGAAACCTCTTTTATGCTAGTAGGACCTCTAACTGGATAGATATTGTTAAATTAACACACTCATATGTCCTTCAGTTACTAAAAAAAATATTACATAACACACTTATACATCCTTCAGTTACTAAAAAAAATAATAAGTAGCTACACAATAGTGGGAGTAAATTCAAATATGGAAGGTTATTTATTGATTAAATTGATCATATTATAGACCGTTAAAAGCTCCGATACTGCTGACTTGATATTGTAAATTTATTTGGATATCGATTCATAACAATGACAAATTCAATAGTAAACAACTAACCGTGGTAATGCTTGTGTGGTATAGCTTTAGTTCCCTATACAAACTTCCACTCCCATTTTCATCCGTTTATTTGCTGTTTTCCAGGATAAAATATAACCTATGTCTACCGCATACAATGTAGCCTTTTTAAACCCAGTCCAGAAGTTTCAAAACCTATTGTTAGAAACAAACAAATCTTTCCTCTTTATAATATCAGTATAGATAGCGCAGACAATATCAATCACTCACCAATCAGGTGCGAGCATCCTAACAGGCCCATCATCGGTATCTACTAGGAAATCATACTCCTTCCCGGTGTGAGGTTTGACACTAGCTGTCACATGCCTCGCTGTCTTCAAGCAGGCCCTCCAGACTGGCTTATGCGAGAGCGCAGCAGGACTCTCCGCCAACGGATACTGCTCGAGGTACGGGGCCCGACCATTGTGTACGCAGAATTGTGTCCACATGGGTTTCAAAGGCGGTTTCTGTAAATAAACGTTCAAAAAACTTGCTACAGTAACGTAGGTCAATTCTGTTAATGCTTAGGCAACAGTCGCATTTCAAGTACTTGCGTTTTCCCATTGCGCTACCTACCTGAAGTACAATATTATTATACATCTGTCACCGATGTTGTGTGAGGAAGCCATTGCACTAATTGACTCCAGGTAGTCAGTACAATAGTAAAATGTAAGTAGTTAAGATTCTATTGAAATGCCTTTATTATGTAAACATTAACTGAAGTGATCATTAAGTTATATCACATGATATCATCTCCGCCTTCATATTTGTCCATACAAATTCTATTAATTTTTTTTATCAAGAAAATTTAACATTATCTGCGCTAGAACTCTTATAAAATGAAATAAACACTTCAAATTTTTAATAACAGATTATTTGGATGTTATTTATTTATATAAAACCATTTGAAAGTTAACGAATTTGGTTGTATTCACTTTTAAGATTTGTCATAAACTCATGCTTCAAATTATCTCCCGAAGTGGCAAACCTACTTATAGACTAGATGTCGCGCGAGTTCGCCTGCAAAAATTACAGCCTATGTCATGTAGTTTCCCATAGGTGAAAGAATTTTCAAATTCAGTCCAGTAGTTTCAAAGCATATTCAATTCAAACAAACAATTAAATAATTCCTGATAATACTAAGATAACAATAAGCTATATATTACTTTTGTATATCTCCTAGACGAACATGCAAGCCAGTAAATAATTCATAGTCAATATATCACTATTTATTTTTTCACATTTTATTATCCAATACGTTTATGATTTAACCGATGGCACTTGAATAGGTGAGTTATTATTTGTTTATCGGTTAACTCTTTGCTTGTTCAAGACTGTGTTTGTTTTATTATTTTATTTTACTGTATCAGTGATAATACTTCTGCAGTCAGGTGAGTTACATTAACAACAATTGTGACTTATAATACTTATCTAAAAGCTAAATATCCAAGAAAATTAATAATCTTCATTAAACTCCTGCCTGACTTGAGTTGATTATGAATGAACAAATTTTTTGATATTTATGTCAATTATTTTCAATACATAGTATAAAACAAAATCGCTTTCTCTGTCCCTATATCTCATGCTTTAATCTTTAAAACTATGCAACGGATTTTGATGCAGTTTTTTTTCATAGATAGGGTGATTCAAAAGGAAGTTTTTTTGTATAATACTAGACAACACAGGTGAAGCCACTGGTGGAAAGCTACACTTCAATGATTTTTTAAAGTATTTAGGTATTTCAATCTTTAATTTTATACATCAGCAAGACTTATATCTTTTCACATGAAATCTACTAAAAAGATTGGAAGATGAATTTGGTATATGGATAATTCTAAGCTTGAAATACAATGCATAGGTTTTTTATTCCTCTAAACAGTTCCTTAGGGACCAGGCCAGTGACGCCACCAGTGGGAATCTATTGTTTATATATTTTATACAATACTATGTCAAAATAGTGAAACTACAACAGCAATCTGAACTAACATAGTATTAAACAAAGTAATTTGCACTATCTGTCTGTCTGTTTAATAATGTGGTTTTCATTGATATGTACTGATTCAAGAGGAGGGTTTATTAGAGGACCATGTGTGAAAAATCACTGGCAGATAGCTAGTTGTTAAATCAACTTTAAGTAAGTCAAAATAACCATACCTTGTGTCCCAGTGGTATAAGTTTACTACCGGTTGTTTCATTCGGTATCCGTTTGAGGTATGCATTCTTCTGTATCTCTCTGTAATAGACCGGACCCTCATTGTGACCGTATGACATGGCGGCAACATTAATAATATTCTGGAAACATGAATATTAATGTTTGTTACTTTGGACTCCTGGATTTGATCAACTAAGAGTGAATTAAGTGATTTGTTGCTATGAGGGTAATGTGCCTCTATAAATCAAAACAATTATCTGTTATTTAATTAAAAGTTATTTTATAGTATAACAAAGTCATTTTTTTAATAGGTTCATCAATAATTTTTCTCAAGTTTCCTTTTATTAGTTTCCTTTTATTGACTCTATCTAATCTGCGAAGGGAATACGTTATGACACTCAACATGAACTAGTTTATTAATTATGATTTATTTTGTGTTAAGGTCACAATTCATTTCCAAAATTTATTATAATTGTTTTTTATCTACATAATTTTACTTCACATTAATAAACTATTAAGTATACTTTAACTTAGCTAAAACATGTTTGATTATGAAAGTTAATTAGCTATAAACAGTAGACTTCAAAATACATCTTGATATCACTAACAATTAATAAAATGTAGCACAATCCTTAGCAATCAACTATATAATTTACAGTTACATATGGTGACCATGAGTCAATCTTAAAGTATGCAGTCGTCCGTCTTCCTTTCTAAAAAGGATTGTGAGTATTGTGGTATTACGCGAGGATGATTAATATTTTGTTTCATTTATTGAGGAAAGGTTTGAAAGCTATATAAATAAGCAGTGAGCCGTGAAAATGAGGTAAACGAGTATGTATTTACCTACAAAATAATTAAAATTGTGTAAGATTATGCAAATAAAAACAAACTGGAATTTGAAAGGTACCTTTATTTAAACTGAAATTGATGTACCTTTGATTTCTTAAGTGGATGCTGGGAATTTCTTTCGTATAATAAGATTTATGTATGTTACTTCTTTAATTAAATCGTGAAATAAACGAAACGAAATTAAACCACATCAAACCCACGAAAAAACACACCACAGACCAAGCAAGAAGTTACACACACCATAGACATTCTTTTTATTCGTTCCTTCAGAAGACTGAGGTCATAGACCATGCTGCCTTATTGCCATCTAGTGACATAAAATTTTGTAATTTCTTAATTTTTTTTAAATACTTCCTCATTGTGTTTCTTTACACCATAGTCATATTTATTGGTAGATTTTTCCATAAAGGGAAGGCAAATGGATCTTATCCCATATAGGTATAGCTATACTTCAAAGTGAAAATAATTATTTGTTTATTTAACTTTATTGACATGGTACATAAATTTTCACTAAAACGTCGATGTTAGACAATTTTTTGAAGACGAAAGAAGAATATAATGTAATATGTATATGAAAATTAGAGATGTATTAAAATTCCATTGACGTATTTCGCACTATATTTTATAAATGCAGAAAATCATGATAATATTTACATATCTACTATAAGTATACAAAGTTATTATTTATTTATTCTTTATGCACAAATGCACACTTAATGCTTGTGGCATTTTCTAGACATAAACAAGATGAGCTAATTATTATATATACTTTAAGATACATAAAATATAATATACATAGAGACATACACACACATACATAAATATAATATGGACTAAAGTATGAAATTGCAGATTTGTACTGAAAATCAATATTGATTATTTTTAAACTTTGTGCAAATTTTTTAATCAAAATAGTTACCATGATTATCTATATATTGCTGCCATCTAATAGGAAGGTCATTTATGCCTTTGAGATAGAACTTTGAGGATCTAGAGTTCATAACTGTATGAAAGAATTTTGTACTGCCTCCTGGGAAGAAAATTTCTTGTCACGTAGATAGTTGTCCAAATCAGGAAAAAAATGGTAGTTCGTTGGAGCAAGGTCTGGCGAATACGGAAGATGACGAATGGTTTCTTATTGCGGTTCCTGAAGGGTCGAAACGGTTTCTCGTGCTGTATGAGATCTCACGTTGTCATAGAGCAATAATGGTGAAGATCGATTCATGAGTCGGGGTTGTTTTACTGCTAGTTTGGCCAACATTGTTCGGAATTCGACACAAAAGACATCTACCGTTATTGCTTCATCAGATAGGAGAAAACCATAGTGAATAATGACACCAAGCTAAGATCACCAAACAGTTACCATTACCGTTTTATTGGTAAGTTTTGCTTTAGGACACGGTTGTTGCGTTAGTCCTGGGGTCTGCCACTGCATTTTTCTTTTACGGTTATTAAAAAAATAATCAATTTTTCATCACATCTCACAATTCAATCCAATATTCCTTCATTTCCGTGCCGATTCAACAAGGCAACACAAGTTTCAACACGCGTTTCTTTCTGCAGGTCAGTCAAATCATGAGGCACCCATTATTCGTATTTTTTAAAATTTCATTGATTTGACGCAAATATTTTAGGTAAGGTAACGTTAAACTATGCCGCTAATTCCTGGGTAGTTTGACTAGGATCGGCTTGTACCATCTCTCTTAATTCATCGCTATTTACCTGTGTGAGCGTTCTTCCTTGTGGCTCGTTATTCAAGTAGAAGTTTCCATCACGAAAGCGTATAAACCAAAATCGCACGGTGCGTTCATTAACAGACCCCTCTCCAAACGCAACGTTGATAATGCAGGCTGTTTCTACCGCGTTACTTCCGCGTCGGAACTCGTATTCAAAAATCACTCGCAACTTAGACAAGAAAGAAGAATCAATTTTCGCAGTATTCATCTTTCTTGTCTATTTGAATAAAAAAAAAAAACAATTGAAAGTCGATAATCAAATGTTTTAGATTTTTTAAAAGAACATAATAGAAACCATGTAAAAAAAGTTTCTTTCGAAAACCTCAAATCATAAAGATTCTATGTTACATAAGGAATCTACTACAATAAATAAAACGGCAATTTCATACTTTAACCCCTAATATTAAATACATAAATACACAATTAACCATTTAATTTTGCATTGACTAACACCGCTGCAAACCTTCATCGTTTTTAACTCTCATGGCACATGCGCACATGCATGATTTTTTATTTTCAGACAGGTATAAGTGATGTTATATGTAGTTCCACTCCAGCTAGATATAGCAGTGTCAGCGTAATGTCTAAATTAACTTTTGACCACGGACTATAAGTCTATGGCTTTAACCATAGTGATATTGGTCATAGGTTAATGTTAAAAATCATGTACTCAATGCCCAAAACAAATAAAAACAAAAAAGTCATCTCTATGGTTTCTTGTAGTTGACGTTTGTGATTGTATTTATGTTTATTGGGAAAAGTGTCGGAAAACTTCTAAAAATGTAAGTTCTATAGAGATCATAATTACTTAATATAACATTTTCTTTTAGTTTTTGTTTAAATAAATAATAAAGTGTTTTAAATACTCCCTCAATACCTAATGTTTCTTAACATCAGAAGATCTTGTCAAAATACTTAACTTTTTTATTTTAGCTCGTTATTTAACCACTAGAGGCGCTAACGTCGCGAGTTATTATGGTCACGTGACCATTTCAACCGCCAAAACAGTTGTCATTTTTTTCATAAATTCCACACTTTTTCACACTGCTCTGCGAGTGATACAAAACTGTGCATATTCTAATGATTCTTATTTAAATTGCGCCATAATAAATTACGCTTACGCTATACGCTCATATCGAGTTGTTCAATCGTCAGAGAGATATTAAACAATGGCCAAGGTTCACATAACCAATGTCGTAGTTCTCGACAATCCTAGTCCGTTTCTGAATCCTTTCCAATTTGAATTGACATTTGAGTGCATAGAAGAACTGAAGGAGGATCTAGAATGGAAAATGATTTACGTCGGTTCAGCAGAGACTGAAGAGCATGATCAAGTTCTAGACACAATCTACGTTGGACCGATACCAGAAGGCAGACACATGTTTGTTTTTCAAGCGCCCCCGCCCGACGTGAATCGTATACCAGAAAATGACGCTTTGGGAGTCACAGTTGTGTTACTTACGTGTTCTTATCGCGGTCAAGAGTTTGTTAGAGTCGGTTATTTCATTAATAACGAGTACAGTGAAAACGAGCCGGAATTAAGAGAAAACCCTCCGGCGAAGCCCCAATTTGACAAAGTAGTAAGAAATATTTTAGCTTCTGAACCTAGAGTGACGAGGTTTAAGATTAATTGGGCCGAGCCTGATGCTGCAGTGGCAGCGGACTCTGGTGATGGTAATCTAGAAACTTCTCATGCTCCAAGCAATGATTCTTATGGTGCATCATTCAATGCGGACAGCCAGATCAGTGGTCTGGAGTTCCATGGTAGTCTTAGTGGTTACGGTGATAATTCAAACTCAATAGCACCTATGGAATGCTGAGGTAAGATCAATAGTAAAATAGTATGTATTATTTATATATTAGAGAATGGTAAAATATTATGTATATATCATAGGTAAAACACAATTACACTGTTTTCATAATTGATTATGGTCTGTTTTTTCTATTTGATTCTCTTGTCTATGCTCAGTTGTTAATATATTAACAGGAGAATTTTTAATGTAGGTAGTTTCATTTTTGGATAAATTCATTATAATAGTTTCCAAAGAAGCTTAAAGTGTAGTTGTAGGATTTTGCTTAATTTTCAAAACACAATTCAGACTTACTGAATTTATCTTACTAGTATGATTATATGTTTAGTTGTTTTTCAAGTTGATGCAAGACAGGCAGATCAGACAAGCAGCGCTATCTCGTAAATTGATTGACTGTGATTTTGCTTGGGTATGAAATGCAATTAACATTCAAAACTTTATTATAAGATGACCACAAGGTCCTAGTAATAGTAGTGGTCTATTTTGTAGGGATGTGTTTAAATTTTTTTTATTTAACTAATTTTTTTTTATTTCAGATTACCAAATACTAGTTGTGAACCAATAACTTTAATAACAAAGACTTGTATAGTGTTAATAAATGATTTAAGAATATGGAAGAAGTAAGATTTGGTGATAGATTAATTAGACACTTATTTAAAGTAACATTGAAGTGAGATCCGTACTTTGCAAACCAGCGTTCCAGAAACGGTGACCTTGGTCGGAACTGATCGGAATCAACCGCATGTTGTGTGAGATATGGTTTACAGTTGCCATCTACATAGTTGGAAATTAGCAAGGTTTAAATTGTCAATCACTCATTAGACTACTATTCTCATGAATTGTTCAAGTAGCACGATTGGTGTGTATAAGAGTAATGTCAGAGCGTGTACGAGACACAAGTCACCTCAGAATGTAGCATTTGCTGTAGTACTTTTATAAGTTTCTAATTTGAAGTCACCATATAGATTTTATAACTAGTACATTATGTCATTCAAAGTAAATTGTTTTTACGCTTTTGTTTAGTTACAGTGAAATTGACGTGTGTGATTATTCAACATATTTTTTTTTATTTATAAACAATGATGTGTAAATATTTGACAGGATATTCAACTATTTATTTAGGCAATATGTAACATGATTTAATTATTATGAATACTACATTCAAAAGTTTGGGTCACTGATGTAAATTAATAACTCAGTTATGGTTCAATCCACATTCGATAATGTTTGTTGTTGTGTATTCTAATTAAATTACACATTTTTAATGCCGTAGAATAGGACTGTGATAAAGATTACATATATCAAAAATATGGTTTATTTATGAGTTTACTATTTAATTTTTCACATGAATTTCACTAGTAATACTTAACTGTTGATTTACTTATTGAAATGTTTACACCGGTGACATTTCGTCGTTGTGTCTTATTATTTCTATTATGGTGCTCCGGTAACTTTTATTAATTACTTAATTATAGAGTGCCCCCAACAATTTCAGTGCGGTGGAAACAAAATTTCTTGTGCATTATAGTCTTGATAGTTGACAAAATATTTTACATAATATTTGAAAGATTTTACTCCACTCTATAACTGCTAGTGTAACCATGAAATAAAGCTGTATAGATCAAACTTTTGTATATTATATCTTGTATTATAGATATAAATAATTCTGTATATTGTTGAAAATTCATTAAAAGTTGGTTTAATAAAAAAGATCTGACTATAGAAGAGTAGACTCTTAACTCTGATAGAAATGTGTTGTTTATGAATTTTATACAGTATTTTTTGCAACAACAGTGTTTCCAAACTTTTGATGTGTTGTACCTGTATATGCACCTTAGATAATTAGTTGAGAACTTGGGATATGAAATATCATGACTATATTACATACTTTTAGATGAAAAAATTTAAATAATATTGTACACATGAGCTTTATTTGTATACATAATCTTTGGGCAGTTTATTAAATTATGAATGGTATTATTCTACTTGCTAAGCTCTTATTGATTGATATATATTAGTGTTTTAAAAAAATATTTAATCGTCCATTTTGTAATGGCTGCCATCTTGAATTTACTATAATACTGAATGCATATATCTGTGTTGTCATCAGGAATAAATACTGAGTTTCAGGGTCGATTGATTTATAAATTGACTGTAACATTTCTATTTCTGGATGTTAATCTACCGATTTAAAATAAAAACTTGTATCTATTGACTTAAGATTTATATATTTTGATGTACACAATGGTTAGATAGATTTGTCTTTAAAAGAAGACTGGGATGTAACGCTGTTTGAAATTTAGGACAATAGAATACTTTCATTTGCTTTTGCAAAGTGTAAATTGACAAATAAATGTAGTTTATTAACCAAAGACTTATATGTATAGTATGAGATGAGCCATTTGAAACTGTAAAATTTCTTAACTTATGCATAAACAACACATCGTTTAGTCGATGTATTGCTGTCTCGCTTACTCCTTAGCAAGAGACATGGCAAAGTGCTTATACTGTCACTTTGGTTCTGAATAGCTTTTTTAATTATATACATAGACGTCTTTGTTATTAATACTAATAATTGTGTCTAATAAAGCTTTTTGTTAACATTACTTAAGAAATATGATGACAAAATTGTGAAATGACAATGAGGATAGTTAATTTCTTTTGATGTTTACGACGATATCTTAGTATGGATATGCCTGCAATTCCATAATTAAATACAAATTGTGAATATACACTTCTAAAAAATGTTTTTGATAATTTTATTTTTTACAATTAAAAAAATTATGGAATGTTCAAAATTACAGATGAATTTTTCAGATATTGAAGACACCTCTATTATTAATATGCACATTTTTGACACTCGGATACTCGGAACTTTAAAGAATTCTGTCTTAAAAGGAATCATAATGAAATTAAAGGACATGAGCTGGAAAATTTTGAATTATATTATAGAGTGGGGGTTTTAATTCAACAGGTACTTATTTAATGGGAATGTACCGTCAGTAGATGTCCATACTATGCTTGACATATTTCTGTCAATTCTTGACCGGAAGCGGAAGCGTTGAAATGGATAGTAACTATCGTTTCTTTACAAGTTTAATTAAAAAAAATCTCAAACCGATTTTAAGCCTTAATACGTCGAAACTAAGTTCTGATTGTTATTTTTTTAAATTATTTGGTAACTTGGTAATGTAACTTGTAACTGAATAAAGACTGTATTTGTGAACTCTCAATAATATTCTCATTGTTTGTTTTATACCTCACTGACTTGAATACTTATGAACCAGAGATTAATTAACCTGCCAAAGGCTCCTAGGCTATACAATTCTCGGGACCCTCTTTACTCTGACTGAAGGGGAAAGAGGGTTTAACGAACTAAAGTTGTGTGCGATGTAAT